CTGTCGCTCAGCTTCCATAGCAGGAGGTCCACGTCCCTTGCCCCGCTCTCCTTCCCCAGTAGCATTTACTGCTGTGTAGCAGGCTGCATATTTCCGCACGGAATTCTTGGTCTCTTCCTTCTAATGCAAGTGCCATGAAGACAACAGCTTCGATTGCACAGGGTCTCATGTGTCCAAGGCTGTCCTCTAACTCTATATAACTGAGGTTGACCTTAAACGTCTGACCCTCCTGTCTCTATCTTCCGAGTAACTGGGATCTAGTGTGAACCACTGCACTTAGTTTCTGGGTGCTGGTGGTTGAGTCCAGGGTTTAGTGCATGCTGGGCCAGCCCTCTGCCATCTCAACCACACCCCCAGCCCAGTGTAAGAGGCTTGGAAAGAAATCTCACCCCACCCCCACACCCCAGTGGGATCCGTAAAAGGAGCTCCAAGGAAATACCTGTTGTTGGGATGAGCTGGCCACTCGCCCAGCTGCAGCTTACTTTCCTCATGAACATAAATGAATTGGACCCCATGTCAGTTGCTTTCTGCTTTGAGAGTCTCGTGGTTGGAGAAGGTTGTGACGGGAAGTGGGAGAGCAAAGCTAAGGTCTTACTCAGCTCTGTGCCCTGTGGACCAACAGAGACTTCACCCAGGAAGGTTGTAACTTAGTCCACAGGGCCTGTCCATCCATCAGTCCATCCATCCATCATCCATTATCATTCATCTACCCATCTACCCATCCACTCATCCTTCCATCATCCATTCATCCACCCATCCATCATCCATCCACCCATCTACCCATCCATCCATCATCTATCCACCCATCTACCCATCCATCCATGCATCTATCGTCCATCCATCCATCCATCCATCCATCATCCATCCATCCATCCATCCATCCATCCATCCATCCATCCATCGCCTCTGTAGTGTGCTCAGCCTGGTGCAAATCTCTGGAAGAGGCTGGGACATACAGGAGACTAGGGCCAGCAGTTAGGAGATCCAGGCAATCAGGCTAACAGAAGCTCTGCTGGAGATTGGCTGGATGACCCTATGTAAGTCTTGGATCTCTGAGAACCTGGTTCTCCCAATTGAAAAGACAGATCATTACATCTGCCCCACAGGGCCAGTGAATCAGACTGTCAAATGAGATCACTTTACCATGCACACTCGACTTAGGACAAAAAGGAACATCTAAAGCCAGGTCCTTTAAGAGCTTAGAATACAGTCTCTGTGACTTAGAGTCCCTTCTGGGTCTCCCAACCTTTTATTTCAGTCTGGCTCTTGGTGGGGCCCTTGGCTGACTTCTAGCATTCACTGAGTGGGCATCCTTCCTGACCCCACACAGTCAAACGAAGGCGCCCCCTCGTGGTACCTCCTGGAACAAAAGTACTCTTTGCCTGAGTTAGCTGCTCTGAACTGGAGCCCAAAAGAAGGGCAGACCTGGGAAGGAAGCAGGCTCTTACACAGAAAGTCATTCTGGAAGGGCCTTGGGCCTCCTTCATAGATCTGGCAGCATATCGCTTCCCCCGAGAGCTACTGCAGCCTCTTTCCCTGGGCAGAGCTTCCTAAAAGCCAGAGACAGGTGACCACTAAACCTTTGACCCACTCTCCACCCCCCACCCCATCTGCATCTCTATTGGAGACAGACAGTGCTCCTGGATTGTCTTCTCCCTCCTTTTCCTCTTCTCCCTCCTCCTCCTTCTTTTTGAAACAGTCTCATGTAGCCCAGGCTGGCCCCAAACTCACTGTATAGTTAAGGACTTCTGATCCAAGTTCTGGGATTGAACCTATGCACCACCATGGCAGTTTTCTGCAGTTCTTAGAATGGAGTCCAGGACTTCGTGTATGCTAGGCAAGCATTGCAGCAACTGAATTATTCCTAGCCTTGCCTGGAGTTTTCTTCTTACTGCCCATGGGCACAAGAGAGACAATGGGTATGCAGGTGACCCTACTTAGAAATTCAAAGTGGCCACTGAAACCCAAGGGGAGTGTGTGTGTGTGTGTGTGTGTGTGTGTGTGTGTGTGTGTGTGTACACGCATTCGTGTGCACATGTCTTCCCAGCTAAACGACAAGAACCTTGACACCCGGGACCATGAGTAATGCCACAGCACAGCCAATTTTAGCAGCTTGCCCATGCAAGCTGTGGATGTGTGTGTTACAGTTGTTAGTGTGGAGTACTGTATCTGGAATTCTGGTTTTTTGTTTTTTTTTTTTAATTTTTAAGAACCAGGTTATGAATTTAACCCTTGCTGCTATCGGCCCATTTTGGCTCATTTTGGAGACAGTGAATCCCCAAAGGTTAAGCCACCAAGTCACAATGGTTGTGCTTAGGATGAAAAGAACATTAGGGAGAGACTGGGTTGGTATATGCAGAAGGTACTCACTAGATGCAGTATATGCAGAAGGCACTCACTAGTTGCATCTCCTGCCCAGAAAACTGTCTTGTTAGGATTGCGCTGATTTCAGGAGGAATTCGGGCACACCTGCAGCTGCTTCCTGATGTGGGGAGACACTTTCTCCGCTTTCCTCGGGGCCTGAAGTCTGGGGGAGCCCTGGGTCTGTGTTTAGGAAAGGGGAGAGGAGAGCTGTGGACTCAAAGAATGTGGCAGCAG